TTACCCAGCTTTTTTGCATATCCCTTGATACTCTGATCTAACAAATATTTATCCACCTCAATTGGGGATTGCATGAGTTATAATTGCAGACATGAGATGGAAGGGAATAAAGATATATGGGTGGGAGGCTTGGTAAGGGGGAATTAGGATGGATCGAGGCGCTTGTGGAGTATAATGACTAGCATGAATGTTCATGTTGAGCTGAATGTTCTGTTTCGGTGCTACAGATTCAGTGCGCTTCTATGCAATATCTTGCAAAGATCCCTGGATTCAATAGCTACATCAGAGAATTCGAAGGTAGGAAAAGTTAATAAGAGGAAGAAGCAAGAATCTAGGTAACTACAAGGTTTACTGACAGTGCTGAGAAAATGATCAGAATTCAACAATACAGATGAAGAGTGACAAGGGATGAAGACCAATTGGACAAGTATAACCTAAGTATAGTTAGCATGGTTTTGCTAAGGAAAAAAATATCCCTATACAAGAGTTCGTAGAGCATGGGACAGATTGCCCCAAGAGGCCATACATCTAGTGATGACAGATTGATAGGAGTTTGGTAAGTAAGGCATATGATAGACAGTGAATTGGACCTAAAGGTAGTTGCCATGACATTAATGGTGAGATTTCAAACACAGCAGAACACTTGAACTTGTAGTCTAGACTGACAATTCTTTGCATTACTGAAGGGAATACATCTTGTCAGAGGTGCCATTATTCTGAGGTACCCTCCCCTCTGTTCTGTGTCCATTCCTGCCACTGCAAAACACTCTGAGACATTATAATAATCATCATCTTTGCATTTGATAAAGCACCTTATCACATTCTTGAGACATCTCAAAGCGCTTCACAGAATATACTGTAATATGAATTGACTGTATATTTTGTGAGCAAATTATTCTAATGAGGACACAATATAAATGCAAGTTGTTGTTGTTATTGTTGTCTCATCTGCTAGGTGTTCAGGTGGGTATTAAAGCTCCCTTGACACTATTGCAATAAAGAACAATGCTCCAGATAAAATAATCATTCACCTTATGACTCTTTGTGGAACCTTGCTATGCACAAAAGCTCCCCAAGTTTGCTTTGAAAAATAGTTACTCCACTCAATGTCACTTAAACCATTTTGAGACATTTTGAAATGCTGAGACTTCCTTTTCACTATGACATTTTCCTGGAATTATAAAGACACTATATCAAATGCAAGGATTATTATTATTACACACTGATATAACAAACGACAGAACTGTACCCTATTATTATAAACAGATATAACACTACACAGCATGTTTAGTAATTGTTATAATTGTTATATATAGCTAGAACATTATGGCATGCTCCCTATTAGTATACACAGCTATAACAGTACAGCACTATGCTATGTAATTATATACAGATATAATACATTGTAGCATCGTGTCATGTTTTTATATTTATATTTTATATTTAGATCATACCACACTACATTACTACACCCTCTAATTATATAATCAGATATAAGATGCCGGTATAACATACTGCAGCACCATATCTTGCTATATACAGCTGTGACACCACAGCGCTGTGTCCAGTAATTATATATTGCATCCTCATGTAAATAAGTCTTTCCACCGGTAATAACACAGTTGTATAAAAATGTACCTCACTTAATATTTTTTGTTTACTGAAAGCCGTAATACCGGAAGTTTGAGGTTGACTTACTGTTTCATATTACTCTAGATTTGCTGACATTTGTGGGGCAGAAATTCAAGTTGCATTGCGATTTTGCCCCCTTATTATTTCTAACTACGTTTTCATTCGGCTTAGGTTCTGCCTGTTAATTCGTGAGGTTACTTCACCTGATTACATTGTGCCTGAAGGGATTTGTGTTGTAACCGTTCAACTGCCTCATTATAGCTCTAACATATCTATGTACATCAGGCGACTTAGGTTGCATGCCTCACTCACTCACTATCGATTGGGTGCACTCTCAAGACTTTTTTTTGCTCACAGCTCAAATAAAACATTTCACTTTTCCGTCAACTTGACCTGTTTATTCCATTCATAAGCAATCGCTCTGAAACACATTAGAGCACCCCCCCCCCTTCTCATTTGATACAGATTCCAAATGTTAAATGATTATAAGTTTAATTTCCACAGGTAGCTCGACTTCTTTCGACAAGCTATACATTGACATCATGTATATTTGTAAAGTTACAACAGAGATCATTGTCGATCGATTATTTTTATCGCCCAAACTCAAAAGAACCAGTCACAGATGTCAAACAAATATCGCAGGTTCCAGTCGGCATCGATTTTTTTTAAGAGAGAAAACTAATTTGATTAAAAGGTCGATGAAAGTAAAAATTGGATTAAAACTTTATTACCATGTCTGGCTGTTAACAGCTTGCAATAATCATACCCCCACCACCCCCCACCCCTTCTCATCCTGAAGCAGCCTCCTGGCTCCTGGTAGACTCCTACTCACCAATGCGCATGTACACCGGATGACACGCCAATAGTGTTTGCAGATGAACACACAACGCGGAATTGTAACGCGATTTAAACAACACTGTAAAAAAACGGACAGCGTCGTGTCTGCATTGTGCAAACACTCCTTTTAAACTACGTTAAACGTGTGTGTGTGTGTATATATATGTGTATATATTAAAAATGCACAAGCCCGTCAGAATAAGTCTGAGCTCTCAACCCCTTATTCCACAGCAAAAGGTCTGTCACATTATATCCGCTTTAAACATAGTTAGGTTTTCTTTTTAAAAAAATGTTTCTGCTAAACTGAGTACAAGAAAAGAACTAACTTACTGCAAGCGACCGGGTTCCGATGGCGTAGATATAACTACAACGGACGCGGACATAAACTGCATAATCCACACTAAAAGCTTTGTCTGTCTGTCCCGGCATAAAAAGGCGAAGCAGCTGTAATGGTGGGCAGTTAAGATTATATACGATGTAAATACATTGTGGTTTGTCAGCTCGTCAACCCATAAAACTTACTTTAATTGCATCACGTGCTCTCTCAGAGCCAGTCAGGGCATTTGCTTTGGGGCATTGACATAAATAACGTTCTAACTTTAAAACTACTAAATCCATTTAGAGCCGATGTTGGTGCCTTAAAGTTAGGGCACGTTTTTTTNGGCCAAAAACTGAGGTCTCGTCTTGGATTTTGGCCCCGACAAATGCCAGGAGTCTCTGTTTTGGAGCAAAAAAAAAGGGGTGTCCACAAAGCGAGTGTCTACTTGTTCCAGTGAAGGGAAGGTGGTAAGTAAAATGTTAAACTCGACTTGTTGCAACAACTCTTTCAAGAGTAGAAGTTTAGAGTAGGAGCGTACAGTTAGTTGGACGTCTTGTTGAACCTGCTCAGCTACTAACTCAAACCCAACTTCTTGATGACAGAGAACCCGGCAGCTACAGAACTAATTTGGAGAAAGAGGGAGAAAAGGAACTATAAATCTGAATTTTCCCAACCAGCATACGTTTTGAGTAGTCCGCTTATCAGCTCAGTTAAAAACTAAAAACTTTCATTCCGATTTCCCAGGTCGGTCTTAAGTATATACAGTATGAACACCTACTTCCGGTAACAACCAGGAATGTAATAGAAATTCCGACTGTTTCATACGGTTGTATCTTCAGATCTGAAAAAAAAGTGGGAATGCCCCCTTGGCTATTGAGATGCACAGCGCCACAGAATAACTAGCAAACTGAGAATGCTTTTCTGACAAGAAATGCCACTCACCGCTTCCAACAGAAATGACAAGCATTCGCTGAACGCTTTTGGCTGTCCAGACGTTTGATCTACAAACCTGCGCATATTGCATCGTGTGCAAAAAAAACTTCAAAAAGTTGAGTCAAGATCTTTTTAAAAAAAGTGGCGAAACGAAGCTTAGAATGAAGGATTTCCCCTTGAAAAAAAGTTACGTCGTCTGAATTGGAGCACTCTTTTTAAAAACAAACTAACCTGTGACTTGCCATAAGTATGTAGTCAATATGTATATAGTTTAGGCCCAGTGTACTTCACTGAGCGAGATAGAGTTTAATCAGAGAAAGGGGCCCTTTTATTTTCCGTTGCTTTGTTTTCTGAAATGAGTATTGTTTGGTTGGGTCATATATGGCCCCGGCTGAGATGCCAATTTGACTTCTCATTCACACCTGCCTTATTCAGCCTCTATGGACTACAATGGGCTGGATATCTGGAAATGGATTTGCAACAGATGTTTGGGGTGCAATCCGGAAGATTTACCTTAACCTGAAATCCTTTACTTTTAAAAAAAAGGCTCCGGCTTCCTCAATTACACAACAGCCTCTAGTACAGGAAATGGTCCTATTGTGTTAGTGCTTCAGAAGAACGCTATAAAGTGGCGGTGGATTGTTTTATTGAGCAATTTGACTACAAAGTTGCCCGTTAACTATTCTCTGCCACTTCAAAGGAACACACAAAGGCAGTTGGGCAAGCGGATGGGGCAGATTTGCACACACACACACACACACTATATATATATATATTTATATATAACGCACAGAGAAAAGCTTGCAGATTGCAGGATGTTTTAAAAGTTTGATCTAAAGTCGGATTTCGCAATGAGATCCAATTCAAATCACCCAGAAAAGGGACGGTCTGATCACGTGATGGTTTAGAGTGTTTTTTTGTTAAGAACCCAAATTAGCTTTTTTTTTAAACAGAAAGGGGACCAAGGAATACAAAACGTAGCAGACAACGTAGACGAGGTTAAGTAATCTGTAAAACAGCACTGAATACAATACGCTTTTATACAAGGCTTAACTTCTGAAAAATGAGAGAATACACCAAATTCATTTTGCTATTCTTATTGTCACGTTTTTTCCTTTTATACACACAATGTATTAAAAGAAAATCGGTTTTGAATCGCAATCGTTTTGAAGCTTCAACTGCAACCGAGGGGAAAAGATTGGGGCTGGCGGAGAACTTTCCTTTGTGGAGAGAAATTAAGACATTTTAGGGATAACGATAGATCCTACCTGACATTCAATTTGGGAAACCAACCGCTTTTATTTTCAACAAGACATAAATTAGAAAAAAGCACCTTCCAAAAAAAAATCGATAAATACAAACAGGCGAAGTAACATTTAACTCCGTGTGTGCGCACCAACCTCTCCCCCACCCCCATCGGTAAAACCTGGACACATTTGTGAAAGGCAATTTTGGGAGGCTCCCTCCTACAGTAGAGGTCTTAGTGGTGTAGCTTAGACTAAAACTTACACAGATAATTATTTCGTTAAAGATGAATGCAGATATTGTCCTTGTTTGGAGATTTAAATTGCTATCATTTTGTTGCTCTCTCCTCCCACAATCGCACGAGTAGGACCGCGATTTAAGTTTCTTTTGAAACGCTGACAGTCCAGTCCAATGGACATTTTAGTACCTCTTTTATGAGTAAGACTTTTTTTATTTAAAAAAAATGAGGTTTTCTTTTGGACAGCAGCAAAAAGAAGTATATTCCTACTCCCCCGTCTCCCCCACCCCCCCGGGCTCTCTATCGATTGCCCCCACTCTTGGTTTTCGTGTCTTTTTTCCATTTCATTCGCCGGTTCTGGAACCAGATTTTAATTTGTCTCTCGTTCAGACATAAATTGCTGGCAATCTCCAGCCGCCTCCGACGCGTGAGGTATCTGTTGAAATGGAATTCTTTCTCGAGTTCCAAGGTCTGATATCGGGTATAACAAGTCCTGGATCGCCTCCCTTCTGCTTTGCTCAGGGCGTCTGCAAAGAAATATGAAGCAATTCACGTCTTATTGCAATGAACAAAAACAGCCAAAATGAATAGTTAGTGTTATTGATAATTTATAGTTTGAATGCATTTCAGTGAAAATACTCGCATTTCCCCTATTCTAACACTCACGTGTTCTTTAAGAGGTCTGTGTGCACAATAAATATATATGTATATACTTACATGTATATACAGTACATATATGTTATAGCAGCTAAACCCACATCCTCTCCCTAGTGATATATTAATATTATAGGTTAGTGGGGATTTCTGGCACGCGTTTCTTTTCCTAACCAATTATTTTGCCATAATTTTTAGTATCCTTTAGGATCCGGGTTCGACAGGTTTACGAGGTATTGATATATTTTCCCTTACAATTTATGTCGTGAGATTTCATAATCTGTCTCGGCCCACTTATTAAACGCTAAAACAATAACAAAAAAAATCCCCATTTCACAATTTTCGCCCACAAAATAGACAGTCAATTCACTTTACAGTATATATTCTGTGACGCGCTTTGAGATGTCTCAGGGACTTGATAAGGCGCTATATCAAACGCAAGGATTGTTATTGTATTATTGTTATTACAGCAAAGTGCATTAGGGTGGAAGTTTATTTTTACCATGGCTTAGATGGACCTTGGTCATCCAGGGATAGATCCGAGGTTGCTGTTGAGTCTGTCCCCTCTGCATGTGTGTCTCTCCGGTTTTTGGGCTGGGTTCCCTGACGATTTGGGGACTATTCTCGACTCCTTTGCCTCTCGTTGTCTGACAGTAAATCCCAGGATTAGGGGTAACCTCCTCCGCCTTCGATTGCCTCCTTTCGCTGCCCGGACCGTCCACCGAATCTCCCATGGCCGGTGCAAATGGGCGATTGCCGGCGATTGCTGATATTGCCCCCTCGGCTGACTGGCAGTGTGAAACACGCGAGGCAGGCAAACTGATGTTGATATCCAACCCACGATAAGAGTACCTGGGAGGACACATCAGCCGGCCTTGTAATGTCGATCCCTCAAGCCTCCAACCCTTCGTGGCACAACCCGAACCATTTTGATCTTGTTTGCAAAATGAATTCGCAGAGTAAGAATTCATCTGGCGTTTTGCTCGCGTTTGATTCATGGCAATTTGAGGGCAGGGGGTAAAATTCAATAGTTCAGCTTGTTTTTTTTTGGGGGGGGTGGGGGGAATTTGGCGACCTGCTAAATGAGGAAGAAGTTTCAATGGCATCACGTGTTTCTCCGAACCAGTCATGAATAGCAAGATTGCTCCCTTCTTTCTTTCTCCTGTTTTTTCATGTCAATGCGGGGCGGGGAGGGGGTGGGGGGGGGGGTTGGGAGTTGATGCATTTCCCCTCGTAGAATGGGTCTGATCGTGAAGAGCCCATTTCACAAGAGGAATCAAAGCGGGACATGAGGCGAGAGCGTCACCTGGCGCCAGTCACTGAGACACCACCGCACACCCAGAATGAACTCCCCCAAAAACCGACCTAAACATGTTACACAACACCAATGTAGACAGGCCGGGAGTCCATATTGCACAGATCCACATATTAAGTGCTGTAGGCCATAAGTAGGAGTTGCAACACGTTTGCATCGAAATCTATAACATTATTAGCTCATTCCACACACACACACACACACACACGTCAGTCACTACCACTGGTTTACATCAGGGCTGGTGATGTCGAATCAATTCCTGTTGCAAGCAACTCTGGTTTCAGACCACTTCTGTCTGTCTGTCTGTCCTGACCTATTGCATCTAATAGGATTGCAAGATGCGTTTCGGTGGAAAGTATGTGCGTTTTGCGTGTAAGAGAACAGACAGGTTGTGTGTGTGTGTGTATGTATGTGTGTGTGTGTGAGAGAGAGAGAGAGAGAGAGAGAGAGAGAAAGAAACACAAATGTGTTTGACTGAACACGACTGTGTGTGTCTGTATATGTGTATGAAACAGTATGTGTCTATTTGATATGTGAGACAACATTTGTGTGGCAATGTGTGACAGAGAATGAGAGAGAACGTATTGGTACATTTGTGTGTTTGAGATATAGAAGCAATTCTAAATACAGTCCCTTTTTTGTATAAATATGTTGCAAAAGTCGAAAGTAAACTAGTTTCGGCTGTACTGTTTGATTACACAGTACTAAAAGTTGCTCAGTCATCTTCACAATGATCCTATTCACGTTTTTACCAACAAATCGTTCATTTAGATTAATCATACAGCCAATATTTTGCTACTGTTACTTCTGAGAGCTAGTTTCCCCTTTTTTTTTCTTTTTCAATATGTTTTAAAAGATTCCGAACAATACGGAATGTACCATCCCTGGTGCTTGTACATTACTGTAAAACGCAACACATTTGCCACCGAAGTTGTCGCAAGCAAACTTGTTTTTCTTCTTAAAATCCGTCTAGAACTAAAGCTGACAAGCTTTTAAACAAAAGCATACTATAATAAATATATTTAGAAGAATTGCGTGCACTTATGCTTTCCTGTTTATGTGGCTGCACTAAACACATATGTGGTCGCTTTGTGTTTTCATTTGTTGAAATCAAGACAGAAAGTGAACAAATTCGCTTCCTCGATTTATGCGAGAGAGAAGCAGAGAGAGCGAAAGAGAGAGAGAAAAATAGAGAAAGAAAATGAAGCTAGCGAGGGCAAATGAAAGCAATTGCTTTCGAATATTTGGGGGCTGAAATTTCGAGCCCAGGCATATTGACTGACATTATTTAAGTCAGATTTTTTAAGTAAAAATATTGGAATAAAATGATAATTTTAGCCTCGTAGATACATTCTAGGCTACACCTTAGTAGAATGTATGTACTTGGTTCATTTATTGCAACATTGGAAGCATCCTTCCGGCCTTAATTTAGAAGGTTTATGGCTCTTATCTACCCCAATTTACCATTAGCTCATTCACCAAGAGGCCAACAATTAGGTTTGAGCCTCAATCTGTGTGCACAGTTATTTATTTATAAGGGCAAATCTGAATTTTGCTTTGTTGTTTAATGCTTAATTTGCAACTAATTCACCTCATGGCGTGTGTGTGTGTGTGTGTTGTGCATTGCCCGTGTTTCTCCCCATTTTATGAGTTTACAGGTACAGTTATGTGTTGTATCAATTTCCGTTGTGTAACTACACTCGGTTGGTGTATTTACAGTGAGGTGTCCTCCCCTACATGCTCTTTCAATAGGATTTATTGTCAATCGTTTTCAATGTTGGTGTGATTTCTTCCAGTCATTTGTATACACACCCACATGCAGACACACACACACACACACACACACATACTCGGCCTGCACAAACCCTTGAGTACAGAGGAAAATCTCTTTCGACTGTGTACCGCCACAGTTATAAACAAAACCTGTCTTAGATTTGTTTGCAAGATAACCCCTAATGTTTTAAAAAAAACTTGACACAACTTCTGCTCTCTGCAATAAATTCAGTCTTTATCTCATTGTAAGCTTGCCTTAAGCTACACGACAAACAAATACTCGCGGTGTCTCTAACTTTCAAAAAAAATAAGCACTTTATTAAATAATTAACATAGGTCCCTTTTTCACTGAAGACATAATTAAGACGGTTGAGTACATTTATAGCTAATGCTACCGTTGACTGGCATTCGGGCGCGTTTTTTCTCCTACTTTCTACAGAATGGGGACTATGCATAAATAAAATGTTCTCCTTCGCTCTAGCACCAACAGTTCCGATAGATCCAGGATGTGTGATTTTTTTAAAACTATTACATAACTTTGGGGAAGAGAATAATCTTTCCCAGAAAGGTGACTTTTCCCTCTTTTATTTTAGTCCTTTTCCTTCTCCTCGCCTCCTTCCTGGGCGCCCACAGGCGGGACTGCTGGGTTACTCTCCTTTTTCCACTTCATCCTTCTGTTTTGGAACCAGATTTTTATCTGGCGCTCCGTTAAGCAAAGTGCATTGGCGATTTCAATCCGCCTGCGTCTCGTCAGGTAGCGGTTGAAATGGAATTCTTTCTCTAGTTCGAGGGTCTGGTACCGGGAATATATTTGACGACCCCTTCTACGATCGGGTCCATATCCCACCCCTGTAAATATTATACAAGAGCGGGGGGGAGAGGGAAGGAGAGAGAGAGAGAGGGGATGGGGTGGGGAGAGAAGATAAGAGGTCACTATACAACTTAATGTTAAAACATTAACATTTTTTTTATTTTATAGGCAATTTACGCAGTAAAATGTAATCAATAAATAAACGTTAATTGTTTGTATTTTTTATCTGAAGGGCATCCCATTCTTTATATTACATTTGACACATCCGTTGTCCTGTTCAACCCATTATTATTGCTTTCATGTGAAAAATTCCTGCTTGCTGAACGAATTTTGGCCTTTTTTAAATATAATAATAGTAAGATTGCAATTTCCCTTGTGTTAACATGGATGAAGCAACGTAATTCAAGTTGTACAGCTAGGCTTAGTGATAAGCATATTTTTATCTGCATCAAATCTAAATAAAGTGTTGGGTTTTAAGAGGCTAATTTCGGATTGGGTTGCTGGTGTGAGATGCAATCTAAGATAGATGCCTTCAGTTAGATATAGAGTGCAGTATACAAGTAGCTGTCTATAGGTTCACATATATACCGTTTATCTAACCATAAATTGACTATGAAACGTCTCCAATACTCACCACTGTGTGAGTTGACTCGTTGCATCCAGGGATATATTGGGAAATTGCTTTTCTCTTCTTGTGCTGAGCGCCTGATATGTTCCCCATTGAGATCTTGGGCAATGGGGTTGTCTGTATTGTTTCCCAATGCGTTTTGCCTGCAGCTGGCTGGCAGATCTTTTTCCTGGTAAAACGCGTTGGATCCGTAGTCAAATGGCGCTCGGCCGGAGCCGAACACCACATTTTCTTGTGTGGAATAATACGGAGAGGAATAAATTCTGCCCTGGGACACAGCAGCCCCGTACGTGGAAAAGTGCCTGACTGGATCAAAAGCGGCTGAATTTAACCCGGCGCTGGGTAAGATCTCTTGGCCGCTGGCTAAATGGCAAGGCAACGATGGGTTTGCAAAATAGGAATTCATAGCTCAAGCCTTGCCTTTATTATTGAATGATTTTTCAATAATATTTTTTCTGGACTCGAGTTTACAGACTGTAACAAGATTGTTATAAGGGACGGCTCCACTACAAGGCAGACAAAATGACAACGTCAGCTGACTCGATTCTGACCAATAACAACCTGTGTGTCATGGACGAGAGGGGGGGTTTGGGGGGTTTGGGGGGGTGGGGGGTGAATTGTTCTGCTTGACTCAAGACTCCCAAGACAAACAGAGTGAAAGTACGCGAAATCCGAGGCAGCTTTACGTCTTGTATTTTTTTTATATATGTATAAAAAACCCTTAACAATCCAAATGAAAGGTAGGATTGCAAAACAAGCCACAGCGCCATGGCTGGACAATTTCCTACCTTTTACATGAATAATATTGCTATTTCTAGGGAAAAAAAATAAGGGGAGGGGAAAATACAAAATTGCTGCCTGAATTTTATTTGAGGTTATTTGCTTCAACGTGCGTTTACAGACATGAGCTCCTTGAAGTAATATATTTTGGATGGTGCTCTTGAATTGTAAAGGGATAGAAAGAAAGACACACGTGTTGTTACAGATCTTTATCTTAAATATTGTGTAACATCCTGATTGACCTGTTTTCCTTCCAAAGATAACCTCCCATAGCAAATCTGAATATGGTTTTACATATATGCTTCACACGTCTTTTTGCTCTCTCTCTCTCTCCCTAGAAATCGTATCGAATAATCAAATTACGATGAAATATATCAGGCTTGAGGGTAAAAAAAACAGCAACACTACTGCAAAAAGCAAAGATTTTTTTTATCCTTTAGCTCTCGAAGTTTCTTGCTTAATTTTTAAAAAAATCTGAGAAATCTGGTCCCTGAGTTTCCTAATGCACAAATTCAACTTTTAGGTATATTAAAAGGACAGAATGGGAAGTCGATGTTGTGCATTAATTAGCATTATATACTTTTTCAAAATGGGGGGGGGAGCCAATAAAAACGTTCTAACTTCAGCCCACAATAAACCGTTTGCTGATAAGAAACCATTTTTAGTTTGTCGAGGAATCTAAGTTTATTGGCAGCCCCTCCCCCCTGTATTGTAGTTATTGAGATTCGAGGTTTCCTTGCACTAAATTCCTAATAATCTGCATCAAAGAAAATGTTCTATTGTTTGCTTGGGTGGAGAGGGAAGAGGGAAAGATAATTCCAAATTGCCCCCTAAATATCTAACTCTCTAAGACGAGCAGCTCACAAGCATTCTATTAAAAAAAACACAACTTTATTCTCCTTGCTTCTCATCTCTTCTCCCCTTTCTATCCTATTAAATTCGTTTTTGTTCGACTATTGTGTCAGGCTTTATTCGCTGTGAGTGTGCAAGCATGGCAAGTTTGCCTGCACTGTGTTCCACAATATAGCTAGCTGCATGTTTATTTTGTGCAAGCTATTCAGAGTAACACTTTCAGTGGCGTTTTTGACTTTCACAACATCTCACCAAATGCTTCAATCGTTTGAAATTAATCTAGAGGAAAATAGCTGTCTTTTTTAAAGAACCCCCCCACCACCCCCCGAAGTTTATAGCCTTTTATATATGAACATGAAACCAATAAAGAGAAGTACTTCATGAGTCTTTAGGTCAAAGGTTTTCCTACTAGCAAAACGCGTTCTTTTTTCTCTCTCTCTCTCTCTCTCTCACTCTGTCTGAGCTGAAACGAAAATTGGCTTCATAATTTAAAACATCATTTGACTGAAACTCTTACCAGACGCGCAAAAAGAAAGCCTTTTTTGCCACAATGAAGGAGAACATGTGAGAAAGGGAGGGAAACACACACACAACACACACAGTCTAGCCTGTCTGTCTGCCTGTCTGTCTGTCTGTCTGTCGTTCTGTTGATATTGTATATCTGTTCATACTTTCTGAAACGTATTTGTAATTTTAGCCCCCTAACTCCTGAAGCCCCTTATGATCAAAGTCAGCGTGCTTTGACTATAATTAAACCCATTTATGGTAAAGCATTTTTTAAGAAAACAAACACAAATTGAATAAGCCGTTCGCTACTTCTTTCGGTTATTACCAGTATTGATTTAATTAAAGCTAAACAACTATATTAAGCCAGTTAATTGATGAATGTTTCCTGGGAACTTGCTTTGAAGATTATTGAAATAAATTGTCGAATTTCTGTTGTTGCTGGCTGCTTGCATGCTGAACCATTGATCGCCATTGACTCGAGGTTTGAAGATAAGACAGCAATTATATGCCTCAAAAATAGGCAATATTTAGAGAGACGTTAACTTATGAAAAAAAACAACAGTTTAAATACTTACCTCCCCCTACACTAATATATATATATATATATATATATAACACTGGGGTTAAGTAAAGCGTTGATTTTTGTCAATAACCGTTCTTCACAATTGCGAATTATTGACCGACTGTTCTCTTCATGTAAAGCCGCTGTGCACCAGTTATGCAGTCAATTTCTTGCATATAGTTGCAAGGTGTATTTCTTTAATTGTGCTCTTTCTTTTGTGTCTGTTTTAGGGGTATTTTTTTGGACTGAGTGGCCGGAACCTCTTGTGCAGGGCTGCACACAATGAGCCTGGCGCAAGACTGTTTGTGAGCTCGGAGCTGGCTGGGCTACAGGCCTGGAGGAAAAGCTTTGCTGAGGACAGAACTCTTTCGACAATGTAATGTTACATTTTTAAAAAAAAAACTATTCTCTGAATGTATCTTGTGTGCAAATAGTACCGTGACTGCATTTCTGTCCACACCAGTAACCTGAAAATATCGAGCGATTTTTTTTGAATTAAAAAAAAACATAATAAGGTTTATTCCACACGCGTTCTCTCTTTCAACCTATTGTGTCTTATATCCGTCATTGCGGGTTTATGAAAGTTATCGCGTTATCTCCAAACCTTTAACCGCAGTATATATGTATCAAAATACAAAAGTTTACTTTTTTCTTTAAAATCAAGTCAGTTATTTAGTTACCTAAAGCAATGAACACCGTTTTGCAAACCCGATTCTCTATTGTAACCCCCACCCACCTCACCCCCCAACAGCATGGAAAGAAGCTTGTTATCTTTGTATGGTTACTTCACGTTTGCAATCCGGTTTATGCCCTATTTAGCCAACAGTAATAACGATTCATTTTATCCAATAAACAGTTATATTCCTGTGAACTGCTCTTTTTTCCCATAAATCAGATGATTCATTCAGATAAAACAAGTCTATAAACTTCACTGTGGTTTTAAAGGAAGATTATGAAACGTATATAGATACATTTGCATATGTATTTTATTTTGGTGTGCGTTTTCCAGATAAAGGGCCTTCTTGAATAATGCAAAAATGACTAGAAAATGACAACCTTTGATGCAAAAAAAAAATGGCTATTTGAACAGTGTTGTTTGTGTGTGGCTTTCTTTTTTTTAAAAAAAGAGGGGGGGGGGTGGGGGGATAAACACAACGAATAAAACTTTGTATTTTCAATTCAAATATGGTATCGTTTGTGTTGTGTTTATTTTCGCTAAAGGGGGAGACCTCCTGTCACTATAAAACTGCTTAACCTCTTGTGGTTCATAGTTACAGTGCGCCATGTCCTGACTGGAGACCATCACGTGGTGGCAGCACGGCTGAACACGTTAAAATTCATGAAAAATACATGAAACACCAGAGTCCAGCGCACAAAGGGGGAAAATAACAGGCTTTACAGCTTTTTTTTCCAATTAAATTCGCAATTTTTTCTTTTTCCCCTTCTGTAAAAATTCTTCGGTCAAATTCTTTATGACTTACACCACTCGCCCAGTCTGGTGTCGCAGGGACCCGAATTACTCAAACGCACCCCCTCTCGTTTATTTAAATGAAGATCGTACCTAACACCTACAACATTTGTGAATTAAAATTAAAATTGCCCTGTATATTGGACCACCACAGCAAGTCTCAGCGGTGTCATGGGCTCTCTGCAGACACACACACACACACACACACACACACAAACATTGCAAAGAAGGTAAATATTTTTATTCTGTTCCAGGGCACACACCGATGTGCTTATACGTTTGTGCTCTCAAAAGGTCTGAGTCCCATTTAAAATTGCGAAACAATTGTCAGCAACACCAAATGCACAATTATTTCTCCAACATAATTTGAAAACTTTTTTTCTACTCTAATTTTACACACACACATAAATAGAGAGAACATATATTATATTCTTTCCATATTATTTATATATATATAATTATGGAGGGAAGAGAAATTCCACCCGGTCCAGAATATTCTCTAAGCATCTCAGAACCCTCCAGAATTAGGAAAATAATTGAATTTAGTTTTCTCTTTGAATCGGTTTTCTGCAGTTTTCTTAAAAGAAGTTATAGGGGAAAAAAAGTCTTCTAGGTTTATAGGATTCGGACAATTCTACATGCTCTGAACTGCCAAGAAAATAAAGAGTAAATGTCGCCCCAGGTGGAAATGCATTCCACTTCCCAATTCCTTAAGTAGAGCCTTTGATCTGATGAACCAGTCATTAGATTTTTTCCCCCAATGATTCCGCCATTGATGCCTTTGGGTTTCAGCCTGGCCGTTGGGTTGAAATCGCGGGGCTGTCCTTTGCTAAGTGCTCACAGAACCAAATTTACAGCAGTTCTGAGTCATTTAAAACGACTTTCACTCCGCTTAATTTCCGGAGTGCTCTCTCAACCGTTTCCAGCTCAGTTTTGAATAACATTTCTCCCTCCGCGCTTTCACACAGCCCAGAATCGGTGACAAGGGAGGGGGTGAGCAAGTGAGAGCTTTGTTTAACGGCTACAGTACAGGCCAACACACTTCACTGAAAAGCGCCAGAATGGAGTTGTTTTATAAATATATTTGACGCCAAATTGTCATCATCTGTAGAGTTTTCTGTTCATCAATATATTACATTTCGGGGAAAATACAAAGCACATAATAATTTGGTTTCGCTCTGTTTAATCCTGTATATCAATCTGAAACTCCTGATCCACTTAGAGACAATTTAGGAATGATTTCCAATGACAGATTTCGAAGTGTATTTGTGCTCTGCCAGACAGGTATTTATCCAGATTGTGCCCCACATTTTACACACAATATACAGTGCACGCTTCACGCCTGAGTGGAGCCTTTTTGCATTTGCTCGTTAAACGGATATGGCAAAAAAACACCCTAAATATAATATTATGGTTAA